GCCAATATAGGAAGCAAATAACGTGAAATAGAAGAGTTTTTTAATCCCTCATAACATCATCTGTAACTGCAACTGAAGTGAGAAGAACAGAAAGTAAAATAAGGTCAATTTTAGGTGCATATATTTAGCAGATGTAATTTTAGGTACATATATCTAGCAGATGGGACAATTAATCTTCAGAATCAGCATGGCAAAACAGTTTGGGTGGGGTTACAGTTTTACATGCTCCTAAACACTGTTGCTGTGCGGGCAAGGCAGCGACTGGAAAAGCTTCAGACAGCTACAGTAAGACAACGACAGCTACTCCTTGCTGGATGCTTGCGCGGGAGACTCAGTATGTGACTGACCAGGACAGCCTCTGCAAAACAATTTCAGTTGTGGTTTGTGATAATCTCACCATAACTGAGATGGGTTAGGTGCCTCAGAAAGTCCTATAACCCCCAAAACTGTAAGCTGTCCTCATACGGATGATGGACTATTTACCTTCTGCTTTTCCTCGTTATTCCCCATTTGGCTTCATTCATCTTCCTGGGGAATCAGCTACCCACTTCTAGAATTACCGTGACCAATCCTGCCTGAGGGACAGCTGGATACCTGCAGTGTGTGATGAGGTGTGATGGAGCACCCTACAAAAGGCACCATAAACTTTGCCCAAAAGAGTTCTGCCTAATTAGATGAGAGGATTAGGTGCTGGGGGGAAATCCCAAGCAGAAAGAGGTTAAAGTAGCTTGCTCAGGCTTATGCAACAGAGAAAAACAGGGTAGATTCTGCCCAATTCACTTTTGGCTTCACTTCTCATCTGCTGGATCAGAGAAACATTTCTCAATAAAAGGTTCGTTTAAAATTATTTTAGTATAAAGACTAAACTAGGGACAAGAGAAACAGCTGGAGTTCTGACACCTTATCTCAGCTGACAATCTGACCTGTTCATCTCCTGTAGCACGGGTAATCAATTTTTCCCACATCAAAATGTGTTGGCAGTTAATAGCAGCCACTCTCGGGTTTTTTCGTTAATTAAGAATGAAGTGTTCCATAGATCATAATTATTTTGGAAAAACGTCTATGATAATTCAGCATATGAACAGACAGAACATTTTATCATCCTTTTAAGAAAAAATACACCTAGTGTTCTTGAAGAAAACTATCTTCTAAGATTTTAAAAGCAAAGAAAGAGAAGATCAAATCCAACAACTGTATGGTGTTTTAGGAGAGATGAGTAAAAGGGCCTTTTTTGTTAATTCATTAAAATCTGGCCTGTGACCCTGTCTCAGTACACCGAAGCCTGAAGTGCAGAGGTAGTGTAATAATTGGGTTGTGTGTGCAGCATATGCTTTTTAATGAATCTATGATGCACGTGTTTCACTGCAGCCAGAGCAGGAGTGTGCTACTTCAACAGATTTTGCTATTTTGTTTTTTTAACATCATCTAGATATTTACAAAAGTATGCAACAAGGTGCTACATTTGCCAGAGGATAAAAATCGGTGCAAGCTCTCTTGCATTCCATGTTTCTGTTAAGGGCTTGATCTAGAAAATCTGGCGGTTGCATGAACATGGCCTCATCCCTCTCAACCCACCTCAGCAGAGATCCATCCTGCTCACTGCAGGATTGAACTCCAACTAGCTGCAACAAATACCTCCCCGTTCATCTGCTTAATCCCCAAAGAGCAGCAGCCTGGTTACGACAAACAGGCACTCCTCCCTCCCAACTACTCGTTATTTTTTGTATGACCTTTAAAAGCAAAACAACGTGACACAGTGCACGCACAGAGCAAACTCTGAAACACACACGTAAGCCCATCCTCCCCACTCCAAGCCCCAACATACGAGGGCCAGATCTCCCTCTGGAGCTTTGCAGACCACCTGAATAAAAACAAGCCCCTCAGACTGCCAGGCAGATGCTCTCAGCTGCTCTAACTCCCCCGGGAAAGGAGAACCACTAAAGTAAGAACCAGAATGCCAAAAAGCCAACCTGAAAAAAGAAGGGAAGGGCAGGTCTTCTGTAAGTGCTCTCTGGAAAGTGCTCACATATCTAACACTGGTGACAGAACGGTTTGGATATCTCCATTTAGTCTACGCTAGTAATGACTCCAGGAATATATTTATAGCATTATAACTCAGCTAGCTCCCTTAAATTCTGTGCATGAATCTATAGATCATACAATTCTAGATGTTTGTAATAGTAGATTACCTTTTTATTCCCATAGCTCTAATTCTTGAGGTGAAGAGTTGTTACAAAACCCACAAAATAATCCAGATTCATCAACAATTTGCATTTGCTAATGATGTTTAACAGACTACATGATTGCTGTCCAGAATTCTTCTAAAAGGCAAAACAAACATCTAAATTATAACTTTCTAACATCTGCTTCCTCTAGGGGAGGATTTGTATGAGGTTTGACAGATGCGAGAGCTCCGATGAATGGCTGTTACAAATGAGCCAGCTAGCAGAGTCTTGGAAAATGCAGCCAATCTCAGCTTATTGAAATGAGCTCCAACCCGCGGCAGAAATAACACGCAGCTGTTCCTTCCGACTGCTGTTCAGGAGAGAGATGGTATCTCGTGATGGTATTAATAGATCTCTTTTACTCCGCATACCACCTGGAAAATGAGAGCCTACCATTTCATCTCGTTTGATGTTATTTATAGTGTATTAAATTAAAAAAAAAACGCGCAAAAACAAACAAAAAAAGAGAGCCAGTGCAGCAACGACAGTGCTGAATAAAACAGTCAACAACTACCAAAGTCATTAACTTTTCACTCAAAACATGAATTTGAGCACACCGCAGTAGGAGCTTTTAGGGTCATTCTGTCTTCAGAGAAGTGAACGACAATTCTGTGAATAATTCTTACTACAACCTACTGTGCATTTTATTTACTAAGCCCAACACAAAGAAAATTGGATATAACATACCAGAAGTCCCTTTTAACAGAAATTTAAAAACTGCCTAGACACCCTATTCCCAAGACACACCTCTGACTCAAGAAATAGCTCCCTTCTAGAGAAACTGCAGGAAAGAGGAAATTCTATGCTTACAAGTCCTGCAAAAAAGGAGGAACAGCACAGATTAGACACCTTCTTTAAATTTGTTGAGCTTTGGGGATTTTCTGTTTGTTTTGACAGAACTACTGAAAAAGTGTAACAGGGGTCCTGTTGGTCCATCCTGCCAAGCAAATATCATGACCAGAAACAACGCTGCAGTGAGGCTTACAGCTGGGAAAGAAAACAGGAAGAACAGATACTCGTTACGGCCAAAGAAGCCCCATGAAACCAGTGAAAGACATGGACTAGGGGCCTTCATTAATGCTGCGCAGAAACCCCTCTCAAACCTGTGCAGTTTCTTTACAGTTTTGGGCCTGATCCAGTGCCCATGGGAGGACAAGGAGCTGCAACTTGGGCTGAGTTGTGCAGACTATGTCTCCAGGGCCAGCTGGTGACTCCTTCCTTGGAAGAGGTGCACAAGGGCTGGGCCAATCTGTTCTACCAGTTTCCTATCAAATGGTGAGCAGAGTTAACTTTCTCAGGCAGCAGGAGCGAGGGCGTATGGCTGGCTGTGCGCTGAGCTATGTGTTTTAACACTGCTGCTGAACAGGCGAGCGGATGTTTGACCACACAGCCCTTTTTCCCCTGTGCAAGGAAGCCTACCTGTACAATTGCTTCCATTCAGTTTCAGAACAAGCTACGCACGGGCTGTCCACACCACACGCAGGGTAGGAAACCACAACCACATCTGTTTCTCATATGGTGATTCCACACGACTCTGCACCCTTCCAGTCTCGCAGTCCATAATCCCCATTTAAATTCTGTCTTTATCTGACCGCATAAATCTTTGTTAGCATCTCGTGCTTTGCCTTCTGAGATCTCATAGGGAATAACATACATAACTTCCCAGACTAAATGGTACCTTTCCCTGTGCCCAGCCTCTGGCACGCGGAAAAACAAAGGCCAACTATCCTGCAGAAGGGAGCCTCAGCACAACTTGTGGAACACGATGGCTACGAGCAGTGAACAACTTCCATCAGTGCCCAGACTGACAGGATGCTTATTGGCTGCCAAGCTGAACAAAAGTTTGATGGGCTCACAGCACGCAGAGGAGCACGCTAGGCAATGCTCCTGCCATCATTCCAGTATGTGTTGGGAAAAACATGGTGCCCACAGGAACCCATCTGTACTGCCTACCACCTAGCCAGAAGAGAGAATATAATTTGAAGATGTTTGGAATCGTACGGTATCTGGTTTGAATTTCTTGGTTTTGCTCAGTTTCCCTGAAGATACCTTTACCAAAGCAGCTCAAAGTGAAGGATAAATATTTAACATCCCTGCTTCAGAGATGCATTAACACAGAGGAACAAAATTTTAATATGGATAAACATGTTATGTTGTAATGCCCACAGTTATGCAAGAGGCACTGAACATACAATTCATGTAACAAGGCTGAGGTATATTATCATGTATCCACAATAAAGTTCCAGGTGATGTGTAGCAACACACAAGACCTGAACGAATAGCACACACATTATACAACTGATACAGTCCTTCAGGATATATAGGCAAGTTGCCTAAACACTTTATCATAAAGACTCTTTCCAGTCACCTACAATTTACAACCTCGAGCTATTGGGGCAGAAAACCAACAGCCCACTGTGTGAACCATGTTGAGCTCACACTGCTCACCATTAGGATTAAGACCTTTCACTCAAAGGCTGTATGCTACCTGCTGAATAGAATAACTGATCTTTACAATTACTGGATAGCAGCGCTCAGCTATAGGGAGGCTTGTCAAGTCACGGTGCTGTAGAACCTTCCTAAAGCAACAGTGTTGTGGTTTAACCCCAGCCAGCAACCAAGCACCACGCAGCTGCTCGTTCACTCCCCCCACAATGGGATGGGGGAGAGGACCAGAAGAGTAAAAGGGATAAAACTCATGGGTTGAGACAGTTCAATAGACAAAGTGAAAGCTATGTGTGCAAGCAAAGCAAAACAAGGGATGCATTCACTGCTTCCCATGGGCGGGCAGGCAGGTGTTCAGACATCTCCAGGAAAGCAGGGCTCCATCACACATAAGTGTTACTTGGGGAGACAAAATGCTGTCATTCTGAAATTTCCCCCCTTCCTCCTTCTTCCCCCTGCTTTACATGCTGAGCATGACATCATATGGTGTAGAATATCCCTTTGGTCAGTTGGGGTCAGCTGTCCTGGCTGTGCCCCCTCCCAGCCCACTCATTGGGGTGGAGTGAGAAGCAGAAAAAGCCATGACTCTGTTTGTAAGCCCTGCTCAGCAATAATGACAACATCCCTGTGTTATCAACACTGGCCCATACTAGCTATGAAGAAAATTAACTCTATCCTAGCCAAAACCAGAACAAGCAGTTATAAGAGTGGTCCAAAAAAGTAAAAGTACTTTCCCTTAGAGTATGTTATCCTTCACAAATTATTAAGCATTCCCTGAGAAAATTAAGGGCAGAACATGTTATTGTCCAAGATGCTTGCAGACAGCAGGTTGCAAGCAGGTGCAGACACAGCACCTGCAGATAAGGTTTTATTTTTCCAAGGTACTGTGAGAACTTCCTTTTAACTATATACCATGATAACCATTCCCCAAAAGAAAGGCTTCATACACTTGTTACTGGAACTGAAATCACCCATGACCAAGGCAGCAGTTCAGAAGTGAAGTCCTTGTTGCAAAAGTGCACTACTTGCAAAAGTCAGCATTTTACAGCTACTTTAAGGGGTAATGGACTTCCTAAACCCAAAATTAAACTCCTAAATTCATACTTAAGCAGCTGTAAAGTTTTCTAGAGGAATGAGTATCAGCACATCCCTGGGGCAATCATCTCCAAGTAGCAAAGCATGGAAGTCCACAGATTGAATAGAGGCAAGCCCTCTATTTTCTATGTTCTGGTAGAAAGTTGTTGCCCCTTCAATGGACCAGCCAGAGAGAGGCAGAGTCATGTAGAGCTGATTCTGAATTGGGAACGTGAGTGAGAAGGCTGCAAGAATCATATAAATCTCAGGGAAATGTAGGACTTCCACAGTCAGCATGGACTAGAACACAGCTTTCTTGCAGCATGAACATTTCTGAAGTACAGAGCCACTACTCCTCCTTCCTCTAGTCCACCAAAAAACAAAATTATGCTTTGGGAAGCAGATCTTAATACCTGAGATAAAGATACTGCACCTCTCTCATTTTTCTGTTTTCTCAAAGTACAGCAAAATAAAGGAATTAAAAAGAAGATGAGGAACAGCAGCATCCTAGGGTCTAGTTGCCAGTCCTGCAACCCATTCTCAGCCGCAGGAAGCAGAAGCCTCCTGCAGGGATATATACGGATCTGTATGCTGCCAGCAGCTTATCTTTCAGTGATTATATAAATGAGAAGAAAAGACGAATTTAGCAGTAGCTGGAAATGGACTTTTTTCCTGACCACACCATCTGTAAGGATGGGCAATTCTTGCTACCTCTGTTTAGACCCAACACCATTTCATTAAAAAGAGTTTGATAGGAAAGAAAACCTTTCTGGATCAAATTTTTTTCCCCACTCAGTTTGATATATATAGCAACAAAGTCCTCGCTAATGATGTTACCTAGAGACAATGCGGTACGCTGAACATACAGCAGCTTCTACTGCATTATGAACTGGAAAAAGACAAACACTTCAACACAATAAAACTGGGAGAGGAATCACTTCCGAAACAGCTGTAATAGGACAGAAAAGGGAGAACCTGCTAAGAGAGGCTGATTGATATTAGCAACCTTAGTGCTGAGTAACTGGGAAGATCTTGAAAACATTAATTGAAGATGTTGAACTGTATCACTTCTCAGGTCATGTACAAGGAGAAATGAATCTAATAATTCAGAGTACATTTGCCCCGGGTTGGTGATGGTTTCACATCCAAGGATACAAGTCTCAGGAGGAACTGAGTTTTGCTCTGTAGTTCTAATCAATGGCTGGGAAACTGCTCAGATGTCCTCTGCTCAGCGATTAAAGGATCTCCAGAGCAGGGCAGCAGCTTTCAACCTCTAAAAAGTTCCGAATGTGTGTTTGTACATGCTGAGCTTTTAGGGCTGTCCAAGCAGGAGATCATTTGAATAGGATTTTCAAAGGCACTCAGAATTTATCTAGCCCCTTTCTGTATCATAAAATAAATGAAAAACACACATTTCCTGAAATTAAATCTTGATCCTCCAATAAGCCCAATGAGAGAACAGACCTCTTCACTGATGCATGGTTCATGGAGGGGCCAGGGCTTAGTGGGTAAAGCCTGAGGCCCAGGGAGTTCTGAGAAAGTTTTATCATTATCTGCAGGGCCTAGAGATGAGAAATAGGAGTGTCAGAATTTCACCAGTGATCTCTGTCACTAAGTACTACCTAAATCAATTTTGTGAATGCTGAAACTTGAAAATAGTCTTAATGAATGACTGGATTAGATACTGGCTTATCAAGTATTTGAAATACAGTTTTGAAGGAAAGATTTATCCTGTGTTTGAAATGTATCTTAAGTGAGTCACCTCTATTTTGTTGAAACTGTAGTAATAATGCCCATAATTACTTGACATAGCTTAATTTTCTATAAGGCTCACATGCTTTTCAACACAGGAGCTGCCAGAATACATTAAACCTGTTCTACACACATCAAGTGTCCTGAACCAGCACACGCTGCTTCATAGGTAAAGCATAAAACCAACATGATTGACAACACAGAATAATCCATTTATGGGGGATGCATCTCTTCAGCGCTTTCAGCTAGCCTACCTCCCAAAGAATCTCCCCTCTACAGTTATGAGCAGTCACACAGACAGTCATTTTCTCGTTATCCATAAAGCTACCTCGGCTTTACTGCCCACAGTGCCTAGCATGTTAGCAGTCCACCTGCAAATGCACACTCCCTGTTTTCATCATACCTGATCAAAGATCTCAATCTTCTGATTTGTTTTCTTCCTAGACCTGTGATTTTTTTTTTCCCTGATAGGCAGACTTGAATTTTATTTTCTATTTTAAATGCAAAGCTAATTAGGCAGTGGCAGCTCAAACCAATCAATTGGGATCTCTTGAGTTATGTTAACTATGAGGCTCTCCTATTTTTAAGCTCTGTGAACCCTTTATACAATCTTAAGTAGTTGATGCTACCTGGAAATCCTTATAAATGTACTTTCTCATGCTAAATTAAGGTAGAAGGTTTCTACTTGGCTTTTCAAATTACTTCACTGCTTATTACTTTATATCAGCTCTTGTTTCTGTCACTGTTATTCAGCCATTCTCTGGAAAAGTTCACTGAACTTCCTTCAGAACCATGTTTCTTTTGGAGGCAAACACAGACAGACACCTGGAAGCAGTAAGACTGCTTCTGTGCTAATGCTCTTGCCAGTTTGGGGTGATGACAGCTCGCAGGCAAAGCATCTGAGACACTGGAGGAGGGGACAGGCACAGCCCCATGGCTGATGGGACCAGCAGGCACCTCAGGCAGTGCCACCCTCCCTCCCTCCCCTGGCATATCAGGCCAGATCTTGTGGGAAGAAGGTTAAGCATATAGGCTCACAAGGTGGGACACACCATATCTAGTAGCACCTCTCTACCTTCAGAGGAGACAGGGAGCTACCACATCACCACGCTGTGCAGAGCAATGTGGGTTGTCAGCATTATAGCAAATGAAGGTAGTGATATGGAGCACAGAGAGAAGAAATAAAACCCTTTTACCCTACCCTGTAACTCCATATGTGGCAGAGTACAAGACTGATGGTTAGAGTTTGGCATTATAGACTAGGAATACAGCACCAAACAGTGGTGTGGGGACACAACTATGAGAACAGCTTCCTTAGGTATCTAGTGGATTCTCCAGTACATAGCTTCTTCCACAAAATGCACATCATCAAGAAAAAAAAAAATCAACTTCTGATCAAATTGGAAACAATAGTGAGCTTTTACCATTGTCATTATTACCATATTTTACATAACGCTAAAGTAACCAGTTCCTCATGATCTAAAACCACAGACATCCAAGAAACTGCAAGGCTAAAAACTAATGCAAAGCAATGCCAAAATGCACGTTATTCCAGACTAAGCCTTGCTGGCAGTAGTCACCTATTCTCAAATCTGCAAGGCTTGCAGACTTGCTGCACTTCCATTCCTCCTGCTTGTGCAAGGACCCCGTGGGATCACAGGTAGACCCTCAGCCAGCCTCCCAGCTTGCCACAGCCCCGACTCCCAGCCTAGCCGCAGAGATGCAAGATCTGCACTTCTACACATTTTTCCCAGGAACAGGAAAGGGATGGCTTATCTTTCCTTAAAAAAAATACAAAACAGGTAGGGAACATACTTTTGAAGAGACAAAAGCCACAACCAGGTACTGTGTGGATACTTCTGGTGAAAATGTCTTAAATGTTCAGACCTGTGGTTCCCAGCTCTGCATCATTCCTGCATGATTAAAGAAATGCATCACTGTGCTTATGTGCTGTTTGGTTAGCACTGGATCCACAGCACAGGAGCTGAAGTTACACTCATGATTTGAGAAGAGAAGAAAAATAGTAATTTTGTAAGCTAAAGTTATGCCAACCATCCAAAGCTGTTAAGCACTGTGGATTTCCAAAGTAGTGTTTTTGGCACCAATGCAAATAAATGTAAACTGAGTATATGAAAACAGCATGATGAAATTTAAACACCAGTAAATAACATTTTCGCTCAATAGGAATTTAATTTAGGAGATACTGTTTTAAATTACCAACTACTGTAGCATTTGCAACCAGACAAAGAAGATAATTCATGGGCATTTTTCTTCACAGGCCAGGATATATTTGTAAATATAAATACAAAAAAATATTGACACTTTTCTATTACAGAGAACCTGCTATCTCCATGTAACCATCAATATAATACACAAAGTAGCATATATCAAGTGCATGATAGTGTGGGCTATTATCTTTAGCGATGTATGTTGAGGATGAGCCACAAAACCCAGAAGTTATAGACACAGTCTAGATGACTGTAATAAACCCTTCCTACTACACTGTACAATTGCATATTCTTGACAAATGACTCATTGTGGAAGATGATTTTTTAATCAGAATAAGATGTTCAGACCTTTCCACCCGCAA